GAGAGAGAGAGATCACAAGTAGGCAGGCAGGCAGGCAGGCAGAGGGAGAGGGAGAAGCAGGCTTCCCGCTGAGCATGGAGCCCAATGTGGGGCTTGATCCCAGGACGCTGGGATCATGATCTGAGCCAAAGGCAGACGCTCAGCAGACTGAGCCACATAGGCATCCCCAGAATTTGCCTTTTTAACCAGTTCACAGTGGGGCCCGTGCTGCTGGTCCAGGGATCACTCTTGGAAAACCACTGGTCTAATGAAAGACTTATACTCTGCTGCCTCCTGTCTACCTGAAGTATGTCCCCAAAGCATACTCACTTGAGATCGTGTGTGCCAGATAAGGTGTATAATTCGGCTCTTCCATTTTTCTTTCTTAATTGTTGGGTCCACTGATGAAATTCTTTGAAGCGCCCCAAGGTAGCCGGTGTTGGCCTTATTTTCCTACAGTAATGACAACAGTGATACTGATAATATTGTGGCTAAGAGCCTTCGTGTTGATAGGGCATTTGGTATGGAAAAGCGTAAGTAAATGTAAATGGTGAAAGACCACCTGCTCTCATGAATGGGTCCGATATCAGTAATGATAAAATTATTGAAGACCCAGCACAAGAGGAAGTCTCTAAAGAGGCATCCTGCATCTAAGCTTTCAACATTTAAGAGGCCTTATCTGTGTAGCAGCTGTAAAAAGTTGAAGAAAACATATGTTGCAAGGTGTGGAGAAATATTAAAAACTTATCTCAAGCTGGGCAGCGATGTGAAAGCAATAAATGCACTTGCAGTACCAGTTTTATTGGGTATGAGAAAACACGATCTGATGTAGGTGGTGGTCTCTGGACTTAAAGCCAAAAATGTGTGTGTCGGGGTGGGGGTACCCTTAGCTGATAGAAACAGTCACACAGCGCCCAGAGCCACGTTCTTACATTGTGCTTTGAAGCCAATCACACTAGGGGGCGGAGCTTGGAAACAGTCAGATTCCAGAGCCTCCCACTCTCTTCTTATGCATCCATTTTATAGACTGAATAGAAGAAAGCTGACAGGGAGAGGGTCTGGATGTACTTCTTTCACAGAAATGTATGGCCAGATGGCTGAATCCTGGGGGAATGTGAGACTTGGGGTAAATCACAGAGCATGTCCCCTCCCTTCCTCTGGCTTGTGTACCTTCCCCCCCCCTCAACATTTGTTAAAACAAAATAGGTTAAAATAAATGTCAGTGATAGGAGATGTCACAAAAGGGTTAAAATGAAGATAAAGAACAGTAGAATTTGGAGGGGGGTGTTTCTGTGGATTGGGAGCAATACTGTGGGCTCACAGTGTGAATACGACAAGGACTAAGGACTTGGGTGTGAGACTGAGCCCGTTTTCCTCCACTAAGGACTCTATAGCCAGTAATCTGTGAGAAATAAAGAAGTGAACTTTGCCTTCTGAGAAACACAGTTCCTCTATCTCAAGGAACTATCAGACAGAATATTTCAATATAAGAAGAAAAGTGGGAGTTGAGCGACTTAGTAATAGACTTTTCCTGGAGTTTCATGATGTTTCTTGCTGCTAGTGTTGAGGGTGAAAGAGAAGGTCCTGGACAGGCTGCCCTAGTGGGTACCACAGTATGAAGACATAGCCGCTGGATGTCTTCGGTGGGGCTCAGGAAGCTTAGAGAAAGTGCCAGTATCATATTGTGGTGAGCTGGGATCTCAGCAGGATGTATCTCCTGATCCTTGTTTTGGCTATAGAGTGGCTGACTGTTAACAATCGGGATGGAAAGTTACAAATTAGTATTATTCAATGATCACCCATTGACCCAGGCCTTGTCTAGGATTTAAGGTTTCTGTCCACTAATCCTTTCCTGACAACAACTTACAGGTAAAATCCCATTTTAATGAATGTAATTTTGCGATAATAAAGCTATTTAGTAAAATCATCATGTAGAACAGATGCATCCACAAATCCCTGTTCACAAAGCACTCAATCTACTAAATTAAGATGCTGTTGTTTGAATTCAGTATTTATGCTTTCTACTTTAGTCATGTTCAATGGCAAGGTCTTGCCATACAAAAAATGGAGGAGACCGTGATCATACCCTCTCAAGGCTTCCATTTTCTCATCTGTAAAATAATGAGGGGAATGAAAGGAACTAGTAGGTCTCAAAGAGTCTTCCCAGTTATAAAAATTCTGACTCTTTGTCTAAGATATCCTTAGTATGGGCCAATGAAAGAAAAATTACAAGGAGAGATTAAGGTTGAGGGTAAGGTCTTGAGCATAATTAATGACACTAAGCATTAAGGACAAGTATGGTAGAATTTACCTGCCCAGTAAATATCACTTCAACTTGTTTTTCCATACTAACCATCAAAATATGACCATGCCTCTCATCTCAAGGAACCCACAAAAGATACCCAAGTGTACAACCTCTCTGAATTTTTCAGGCATTCGTTTAAACAATGTTCATTGGGTGCATAAGATGTACCAGGATACAGAGATAAAGAAGACACAGTCCTTGACCAGTCATTGGGGACAGGCTGATGCTGAGAAAGGGGTACAGTATGATAATGATTGTTTTTTTTTTCTTCAAGATTTTATTTATTTATTCGACAGAGAGAGAGAGAGAGACAGCTAGAGAGGGAACACAAGCAGGGGGAATGGGAGAGGGAGAAGCAGGCTTCCCGCTGGGCAGGGAGCCCAATGCGGGGCTTGATCCCAGGACCCTGGGATCATGACCTGAGCCAAAGGCAGACGCTGAACGACTGAGCCACCCAGGCGCCCCTGATAATGATTGTTTAATAGCTGGTTCGTGGAAGGAAAATAGCCCTGATTTGTAACGTTTGCCAATTTTCATGGAGTGATTTCCATAATTACTCCCACCATGCCCAATTTCAAGCTATCAGTCTGACACTGACTAGCGCACAAAATCCCTGAAAATTTAACCACAGGCTCTTGTGAACCAGCACCAACCAGCTCCAGCATACTTCTGAAGGGGTGTGACCTTGGGAGAGGTGGCTCTCCTCAGCTGAAGGCAATTCCCAGAGAGGTGTTAGCTATCATCTCCTAACACCGCCCCACCCCCAGCAGCTAGGAGAATGAGAGCTTCAGTCGTGAAGGCTGCAGCTGGGAGGTACACCACGGCACCCACTGCACATAGTGTATGTTAAAGTATTTGCTGTGTTTCAACCAACACAAAGCACTTAATTCCATTTAGCGTTCCATCTAGCGAAGTAATTTTAATGTTCCTTGAAATGTAGTAAATACAATTTTATCTCTGTTGGGTAATCTTGGTCAAGTCACCTAATCTCTGTTTTTGTTGAAGATGCCAATATTGACTTGCTTGCTAAGGATCCTGGTGGATGAACTGGCCAACTAACTGAAAACACCTGACTTAACTCGTTTTTCCCCCTCAGTGGACCTGTTACTGGACTAATTTGACCAAACTGATTCACGTTTAATGGTGTAACCAAGTTTAAGGACTTAGAGGTCTTTGGTTCTAGATTTTCCATCTAAATCCAGCTCTTTGCTTGTCAAACCTCTCTGGCACTCCATTTACCCATTATGCAATATGTAATTATGAACAAAGGAGGCTGAATTCCTTGTGTGGCTCATGAACTAGCTCCAAAGATATCCCAGAGTATTTGAAGGAAGATTTAAGGATCAGAATACATGTAAAACCTCTTAGGGCAATTATATTGAAGGAACTAATGGTCATTTGAAAACTCAAAGTTACACTGTATGTGTGTGTGCGTGCATGTGATTTAAATCATCTTCATAACTTGCCAGTTACACCTTAAAAAACTGGAAGGCATCAGCTCTAAGTCAAAGGGGAAAGTTTCTGGGGGTATTTAACCAGTGTGAAAAAATGACTTTGGAAACAGATGAAGAAATATGTAAACGCCAAAGACCAGTCATTGAACGTAGTTAAGCGTATTCAATCCCTGAGATGAAAGGTTCCGTGTAAGCACGTATAATTAATATTTACCAATAGCAATAGGACCTTTGCCTTTCTTCAAGGAGCTCAGAATACTTGCCAGGCATTATCTAATTAAACTACTCAATGTACCTGTGAAATGCCTTGGAATCTACATTTTAAAGATGTGGGCACTGAAGCACAAGTGGGCTTAAACTAAACTCATTTAGCATGCCAAGGGCGAAATTGGATAGAAGACTTTCAGTCTCATGATCTTGCTGCCATTCTTCAACCGTGGCCTCCTCTAATCCACTCTATTCTAGCATGGCCTTGCCAAACAACATAGTTTCGTAAGTCTAGGAAGAATTAAATAGACTGCAAAGTCATTCCAATTATAGGGAAGTTAGATTTTTAAAAGTTGAACATATCACCCATAATATTATTAGCGTTTAGAGGTCAGTGTGAGCTAGTGCCACTCATTGTCTACAATGGCCACGGTAAGGGTGGGAGCAGTTGTGCAAAATCTGTTGGAATGTTGTTTGCAGGAGCCGGGCCGTAAGTAGCGGTGGTGGCTCTGAGAATGTCCCCCATCCTCTCCCTCTAGCCTTCTTATTCTTCGGTACTAATAATAGCTACTCTTTTTTGAGCGCTATGTGCTAAGCCCATTATACGAATTGCTCCCTCAATCATCACTACCACCCCATGAAGTACATATTTATGATCTCCATTTTATAAACGAGGCAGAGAGAGGTAAAGCAATTTACCTAAGGGTATACAGCTAACAGTAATTAGTGATTTTAAGATATAAACCTGAATCTTCCAATCCCAAAGCCTGTTCATTATGCTACCTCCCATTTGCTAAATACGTTCTTGTTCCTGTCTAGCAGTAGGCTCTGCAGGCTATATACGTATCTGTGACATCCCTATGCCTAATCCAGAGTCCCTGAACATACCTCAGCCTTAGCTCAGGGTTTCAACATCTTGATCATCTTAGAGGCATAAGATAAAAATCGTTTACCAGTTGGTTATAACACATTTATTTATTTCCCCCTCTGTGGTTTTTGGAATTCTATTTTTCTAACATATTACCGCCATAACCTCCCTGCTTTGTTGGTTTCAGTAATCATCATGTGTATGCATTCGGCCTTGATTGGGGGAGAAACTCAGACGCATCTCTTGGAATGGGCTCATGATCTGAAAATGGCTGATGGAACCTATGTCTTTGTTCCCTATGATGCCCTGCTCTACAGTTTACCTTATAAGCATACCCCCTACCAGGTCCTGAGGAACAACCCAAAACTCCGGGAAGCCTATGATGCTGTGTTGACCATTACAATGGAGTCCCAAGAAAAGACCTTCTATCAAGCCTATACTGAGGCAGCAGCTAGCCATGAAATTCCTGAGACGCTGGAGTCAGATCAAGTAAGTGCAGATTTACAAGTTATCATAAGCAGAGGCCCTCAAACATCAGGAAGGTCAATATTGTTCCTATGAAAAGCCTCTATTCTACAGGCAGCCCAATCAAGAGCAGGCAACCACCCACAAATTAAGAACACCTTTTGTTTGCAGAAAACATTTCTAAAACAAAGACACATCGTTGAAGCATTTTTTTATTGTCAAGCCACCCACAATGACAGCATGCAGCCATGAAGAATAAATAAAAATATATTTAAGAATAGGGGAACAAAGCTTTTATATATATTAGTGCTGTTCAAGGGAGCTAGAGAAGTCTTATTTCTGACCCAAGTTCAGCTGGTTTGAATAGTTCTAAATCTATTCAAAATAAAAGAGAGCTGGTATATGAGACCATATTAACTTTATCATTGATAAAACTGGTATTAGAGAATGCGGCTTCTGTTTGTAGGCATTTGAGCTTCCCAGTACTGAATCTGAGGATTACCCAGACTTCTCCACCTAGTCAACAGCATTGCAGGACCACCATATTCTGGCACCACAAAGGCATGCCTTTTGTAAAATGTACAGCCCGGAGGAGCATAGTGGGTGTGGGCTTCCTATAGGTAGCTGGCTCCCAAGAGAAAGAAGTTAGGAGGGACTGGGCCATACATCTTTAGTTCTCCTTCCAAATTAACCAGTAAGGTAAGTCACTCCTTTGTGGGAAGGAATGAGTAAGGGGACGAAGAGAGGTCAGGTGTGTTTTTGCTAGTAGAGCTATCTCGGTATGAAAGGAATCATTTGGAATGGGGAAGAATTCCTCCCTTCTAATATGCGAGACATGATATTTACATGCGTATAAATGAATATATGTATAAACATATTTCAGATTCAAATCACAAACACTTAAGGGCTGGAGAAAGGTAAAGGAGTAGGGAGGGGAAGAAAGCAGAGAAAGGAAGGACAAAAACAAAGAGGAAACATCCAAAAAAGACAAGGAATATGGGAAGAAGGTGGTGAGGCCGAAAATACCAGTTAGATTCGAAAAAATACAGAGGGGGTTTTTATAGGTTGGAGGCTAGATGTAGAAGAAGGCAGTCATTTTTAGAAGTATTTAGAATAACACGTAAGTAGGATTAAAAGTTCTAGCATTTGCTAGCATAGTGTATTAGTTATAATGCTTCTGGCTGTAAGTAATAGACTGTTCAACGCAAAATGGCCCAAGTGATTTTTCTTTTCAAAATTTGAAGGTATGGGTGCTCAAGGGGCAGTTAATTCATCAGCTCAATGATGTTATCAATGAACCAGGTTCGACTCATCGTTCCACTTTACAAGCCGTAGCATGCTGTCTTGCCATCGTGATTTGGTTGGTCTTATGGTCCCATGATGGCTGCCACAGTTCCAGACATCACATATTATAGGTGGAATGGTCTCCAGATAAAAATGGGGAATGACTTTCTCTTGTGCCTCTTTTTAAGAGTGAGGAAATCTTTCCCAGAAGCTCCTCAAGCAGACTTCTCTCCATACTTTCCTGATCACATTCATGTCTCATATGCATACCTAAATCAATACTTTAGAAAGAGGAACAAGACCATCATGATCAACCCTATGGCTGTTGGAAAAATGTGAACAGAATTGAAATTCTGTTAGCAGGGAAGAAGGCTGTCAGGTAGGCAGCTGATAATGTCTAACACTCAACGTTCTCCATGATATTCTCCTTTATATCCACCCTTTATTTCTTTATCCTGTGGACTGCTTCTGCCTCTGAACAAATGATTCAGATAAGACTTAGGTTTAGTTTAAGTATGGATAACAAAGATTTTGCTGATTCTTGTTCTAATAAAAAAGTGACTAGCAGAGATATTAACAGGGCAGATTTTGAACTTGATTGCTACTGAGATGTTTATAATAAATCTTTCTTTTAGGAGACACACACATGTTTAAAAACAAATGGTCAGTTTGGTCAAGAATTGCAAGAATCCCTCAAACTGCTAAGAATTGTTGCTCAAACCAGTTGTTTGGTATATTTATAGGCAAGCAGATGGTGAATTTTTGTACTTTTTAGCCAATGATATGGCACCACATCGATACAGACTAAGTCTTTTTACTTTAATCACGAAATTGAGGGAAGGAGAAAGATGTGTGTGTTTCTGTATTGTAAATCATACATACATATGAACAGATATTTTGATACAAAAAACTCAGATCTTCTACTCTTAATATTTGATCCAATCTCTTTGTGCTTGTGGAAAACATAAGGTAATTAAGGCAAGGAAAAAAAAAAGACACCTTTATCTTGGTTGCTAGGCAGCCTGCACTCTGCTTTAGACAAGAAAATAGAGCTAAAACAAAGAATCTAGATCTTATAAAACAGCTTATTTGGATGCATTTCCACCCCCACTTTGCAGGTGCCTAAGGTATACCCTCATAACCAAAGATTGAGAGAAGGATGAGACAGTTATCTTCAGATTTCTGATAAACAAAACCCCCTTTTACCTAAAAATTAGTTTCCTAATTTTTGAAGGCAGCTGGTATAGCAGAAAGAGCATATGATAAAGAGTTAGCCACACTTGGGTTGAAATCCCAGGGTTCCACTCTTACTAGCTGTGTGTCCTTGGGCAAATTACTTACACTTTTTTTTTTAAAGATTTTATTTATTTATTTGAGGCAGAGAGAATGAGAGACAGAGAGCATGAGAGGGAGGAGGGTCAGAGGGAGAAGCAGACTCCCCGCCGAGCAGGGAGCCCGATGCAGGACTCGATCCAGGGACTCCAGGATCATGACCTGAGCCGAAGGCAGTCGCTTAACCAACTGAGCCACCCAGGCGCCCTACTTACACTTTCTTGAGTCTCAGTTTTTCCATCTGTAAAATGGGTTAGTGATCTACATCTTCTGGGATTATTGCAAAGATTTAAACAAATCACACGTGTAAGGTAACTAGCAGAATGTTTGGCTCACAGCTACCTTCCTTTCCACTTTTTCTTCCAGAGGGCCAGAATGACCTCATACTTACCATCTAAGTTACAATCTGATTTCAGCCCCCTAGTCTTGAAGTTTTCTGATTCCTGGCAAAAAAATCTCTCAATAGTTTCAGCTTTCAAGATTATTTTGCTTTCAGAATTCCAAATGGTATTTTCTTAGATCAAATGATGTAGTGCATTGTTTGCTTGTCCCTGGGCTCCTGTTGTTTTTGCCCTGTTCAGTCAAGAGATCAATAATTATTTGCTGAGCACCTGCCATGTGCCATGCATTATGTTGAACTCCAGATAGAATGGTAAACAAGACAAGATTTTTGTCAGTGGTTTGTTGGAGCCGGTTTACAAAAGCTGATGGTGTGTACCTTTTCCCAGTTCTGTGTTTAGTGACATTGTGTTGGTAGCTAGAAACCAGCCATCGGGAGTATTTACACCACAGAAATTGGTAAATGATACAAGTAAGAGTTATTTTCCTTCTCATAGAGTTAAACACTTACTAGCACATCTCTTGTTCCTGATCTTATAGGGTGTAAATTCCAGTGAGAGAGATAGTAAATGAATAAACAAATGTATGAAAAACATGGCCATATTTCTCTCTTGCCCAATAACTTCCAGTGGAATTGAAATTTCTATAGATAGCAGTGGTTTGCAATCTCTTTTAATTTATGCCCTTACTTCTTTAAAAAGTAAAACCAAAGACTGTCAAAGTAATATGTGCACATAGTTTTAAAGGTTAAGAAATGCTAAAAAGTTTGTGTCAACAACAAAGCAGTTCCTAGGCCTCCCCCCCCCCCCTTTTATCAGAAGCAACCACTTTCTTGTCTTTTAGCTCTTTATTCTGGTATTTACCTCTGGGTTTGTAAATACCATACTGCCACTGGTCTCTCTCTCTCTCTCTCTTTTGGTATCTTGATTAATCAACTTATTTATTAAATATTGAGAGAGAGGGAGTGAGTGGGGAGGGACAGAAGGAGAAGCAGAGAGAATTTTTTTTAAAGATTATTTATTTTGAGAGAGAGAGAAAGAGAGGGTAAGAGCATGGGAGAGGGACAGAGGGAGAGAGAGAGAGAGAATCTTAAGCAGACTCTGTGCTGAGCACCGAGCCTGATGCAGGGCTTGATCTCATGAGTCTGAGATTGGGGCCTGAGCCGAAACCAAGAGTTGGATGCTTAATGGACTGAGCCACCAGGCACCCCTTGATTAATCAAATTTAGACATTATTTGTTGACTTTCTCTTACAGTTGAGTATTTTTAGCTCTTACATACTTCCTTATGCGCCTTCAGACCTTCAATATAGGTACACCGCAATTTTTTGTTAAATTCATATTTGGCATTTTTAATATTATACCTATCTAAATATCATTGACTGCTGACCCATGTGGTATACTACGGTAACAATTCATTCTGCATGTAACTTTTGATTTTTACTGGGGTTGATAATTGCTTTATTTTTAAATTTGTTTACCTTAATTTGAATTTCGAAGTCTTTCCACATTGTCTGATAAAGCTGTAGAATGCTCACAGAACAATTTTATACATGGCAAAAACCCCTTATCAATTTCATTTGTTTTTCCTGAGGCTCTCTGTCCTCCTGTTCCAATCTAAACTTATTGCTCTCTAAAGCTTCTGCACAACTGTTATGCTAAGATCTCCCTTTTTATCACCCTGGAAGGTCCCTTTCTCTTTTTTTCTGTGCTGAATCCACTATTCATGAATCTTGTGACTCCCATTTTTTCCCCCAGTTTACTCTTGTTTTGGTGGAGCACATTCTCTAGTGAGAAAGGTACACAGAAGGTAAATTTTTGAAATTTTGCATGTCTGAAGGTCATTAGTCTATCTTCACTATTGATTGATAGTTTGAGTATATAAATCTAGGTTAAAAAGTCATTTTCTCTAGGGCGCCTGGCTGTCTGTCGGAGGAGTATGTGACTCTTGATCTCGGGGTTGTGAGTTCGAGCCCCACATTGGGTGTAGAGATTACTTAAAATCAATCAAATCAGATCAAATCTAATCGTTTTCCCTTAGCACTTTGAAGACATGGCACACTGTCTTCTT